AAATGAAGCTATTGGAATTCCCCGCTTGTTGATGCTGGAGTGAAGCAGAAACATTCCATCCCGTAAGGCCCATTTTGTAGATGGGGAACTGAGGTTAGAAAACATGTCCCTTGAGCCCTGTTTTTAACGATAACAAAGAGACAGCGGTGTGTAGTACAAAAGGCCTTGAACCACAGATGCAGAGATCTGGGCTCTACTTGTACCTCTGTCAGGGACGCCCTGGTTGACTACAGACAAGCCACTTATTCTCTGAATTTAGGAGAAAATCAGAAATTGCTGATTCATCACTCATTCAGCAAACATTTCTGGAGCCTCTTTGATGTGTCAGGCCTGGGGATAACTATTGAAATATGTGGGCTCCAAACTGTAGCCAGATCACATCATGGAAGTCAGGTTTGGCCCTGCGGCCACGTGTCCACATGGCTTTCGGTCACGTTTTCTCACTTGCTGTGTCTTCTTCACATATGTGTAAATGAGAGAAAAGAAGGCCTGTTTTTCAGGCTGCTATGCAGATTGAATAGTAACATAGGATGGTGCAAAGAGCAGCCCTGGCCTGCAGAGGCTCTCAAGCTGTAGACAGTGTTGGTCAATGGACTGCTGCAAACAACCAGCAACAGGCAGGACACTCAGTAGACCAGGGTCCACTCTAGAAACACTCATCCAAGCCACACACCTCTGGAAACTTAGCAGGAAGGCTTAATTTGAAACACTTGTGGTCATACTTCAGGCTGTCACTTGTAATGTCCATGATCTGTAAAAAGGTGAACTTTCACACTCACATTTAATAGCTTCATTCTAACATCTCAGGTACCCCATAAACACATCACTCTGCATCCACAAAAATTAAAAATAAAAAAATTTTAAGTTGTTTTATGATATAAAAATAGCTTGAATCTAATCAAAACTATAGACAAAATCATGAGTTTGATATTCTGGTAACTTTTTGGAAATACAGAAATGCATATTAATCATTGCAATTCTCTATCTTTGCAGCAGTTATAGCCTATCGGGAAAAATTCCGAGAAATCGAAAAGCATTATAGATGGGATGGAATCATTAACAAGAGGTAGATGATGAAAATTTCCAAATGAGGGGCATGAGTAGTAGGGGTGACCTCGGCTTCCAAAGGGGTCTCTGGCCATAGAGTGGGGCAGGAGATTCCAGGTGAGCCCAGACAGGAGCAAGGAGGGGGTTGGGCTTGTGGCCAGAGCTCGAGTCTGGGAAGGGCCTCCACTGGCCACCCTGAGCACGATGAAGGTGTGGTACAATACCCAGCAGGGGCCTCAGCACGTGCAGACATGGGCTGTCACCCCCTCCTGAGCTTCGCGCCCCCAGGGAAGCAGGCAGGAAATGTTGTTTGCAGAGAGCTTTCAGCAGAGTGCCCAGCAGATGCCCTTTGTGCAGATGGTACATTTCCCAGGAGATCTCTCTCTGTGCCCTGCCCTCCAGCCCCACCCCTGGTTCCAGGGAGGGCCACACCAGGGCAGGATCCAGCAGGACAGCAAGAAGCCAGCTCCCTGCCTGCCTGACTACAATACAAGGTGCCTGTGGCTCTCAGACCGTGCAGTAGTGGAGCAGTGGAGCTGCAGCCAGCCAGAATCCGGTTCAAATTTCAACTCTGCCTCTTACTAGCTGGCTGACCTGGGCACTTCCTTCCTTTTCTGGCCCCTGTCTCCTTCTCTGTAAAACTGAACATGAATACCTGTCTCATTGGACATTGCATCCACCCGATGTCTACTGGGCATCAGTTATGAGTGAGGCACTGTTCCTGCCGTGAGATCCCAACGACACCCGGGGAGATCAATCATCATACTCAATAGAGCTTTCATTTATCACGTGCGTGCTTCCTCTATACCAGACCCTGGATGAAATGGTTTACAGCTAGTATTTCATTTAATCTTCACCAAAACCCAAGCAGAGATCGAATCATCCCATTTAACAGTTCAGAAAAAGGAGGCTCAGGAGGTGAAACAAGCTGCCCAAAGAGTTTCAGCTTAGCACAGCACAGCTGGGATGGAACCAAGGCCTGTGGGACACCAGCCTGCCTCCCAGTACCTCTCAAGGAGTCCACACCTGGGACATTCTGGGGAAATGCCTGGGATTAGCCAAGGTCCTTGATCCCCTTCCCACACTGCGTTGCATACAGGATGGGGCACACTAAGTGTCCATACCCAGTCAGGAGTGACTGGTGGAGGGTGGAACAGCATAACCAGGCATTCCACCTCACATCAGGGGTCCTGCCCCTAAATCTCAGTGGGACCTCAGCCAAGTGGCTTCCCATCTGGGCCTGGGCAATGAAGAGATGACAGTTGATAAAGATCTTTTGGAGAGTTCTCTGAGCACTGATCAAATATAGAGTCACCATTTGGATCAGAGGGAGCTTGTGTTTCTGGCCTTGGATGCTGGCCTGCCACTCTCTAGCTTTGTGACCTTGGGTAAGTGACTTAACCTCTCTAAGCCTCGATCCAACTCAATTTTCCTGTCTGTATTCTAGGGATAGTAATAATGCCTTCCTCACAGAGCTCAGAGGTTAAAGGAGACGATAGAGGCAAAGTGCCAGAGCAGGGTGCCAGGCCCCAACGGGGTGCAATGACGTGCTGTGATCATATGAAGAGTGGGTATGGTGGCAACCCCATATCCCTGCATCCTCCTGGCCCCAAGCATGGGAGGCAACACCCAGTAAACCTGTGGAATTGAGTTGAATCTACCAACCCCAGATAAGAACCCATGTGCAGTGACATGAACCCACTTGTAAAGACCTCATAGGAAAAAAATATGCTTTGTCCACAGTCCAGGATGGGAGGTCCAGTGGGGGCTTTATTGAGCAGGGCAGAACCTATTTTCTTTTTTCTCTTTTTTCTTTTTTTTTTTTTTGAGACGGAGTCTTGCTCTGTCACCCAGGCTGGAGTGAAGTGGGCGCGAATGGTCGCGCTGGCGGTTTAAGCCTCTGCGCTCGGGTTCACCGCCATGTGCTCCCTGCCTCAGCGAGAATGTTAGCCAGGATGGTCTCGATTCCTACCTTTGGTGATCCCCCGCTCTGCGCCTCCCAAAAGGCTGGGTCCACAGCATGAGCCACCACGCCCGGCCAGAGTCTATTTTCTTTCCCTCCATGCTAGAGTCCCAAGCCCATGTAAGGGAGCTCCAAATGCCATGCCTTTCCCTAGCTGGTGACTGCTGTTATGCCGAACCCCTGTCTACTCCATGGGGATGGCAGCAAGTTCGAGAGGCTGAAGAAGGGACCCAGGACTGGTGAAGAGGAGATGCGGAGTTTTACTGGGGCTTAACATGCAGGGGAAGCATCTAGCAGTGGCAGGCTGGGCAGGAGAGCAACCAACTTGCAAAAAGCATGGCAGCGTATATACGCGTCTTCACTTAGCACCCCTCCACCAGCAGCTCCATCACTGGCAACATTTACCTAACCCAGAACAAGAGGCCTTGATCCCTGTACTTCGTCTTGTGTGCACAGTTCAGATGTTCTCATAGATAGGCATCAGAATGAATCTCCAGGTTGGCCACTCCCAGATTCATTAGCTCAGAACTCAAACCACATTCCGAACTCACTGCCCACAAGGGTCATTCTCAGGGGATGTTAAGTGATTGCTATCAGGTGTGGTTCACCGTAAGCGGCTTTTGTGGAAATCGCCTGCGGGACTGGATGAGCAGCGGCCATCATAGAGGAAGGTCCCCCAGGGTCAGAAGAGCCTGGTGATCTCAAGCACATCAGCTCTCCCGGGCCTCCACCTTCCCATGCATCCATCCGAGGGCCCCTTTCTTGTGTCACTCTGGGCTCCATCCTCTTGGTGCATCTGGAGTCAGATGAGACCTTGGTTCAATCTTTGGCTGGGAGGGATGCAAGATAGCACACGGAAGGAAACGATTCATCTTGTCCAGGCTCTTCTAGAGCAGCCGGTCCCCTGCCGAACCGTCTAGCTGACCCTAGGCACCAGGGCAGCCCAGCCAAGGGTGGCCAAGCCAGGCCCGACTGGGCCACTCACGACTCTGGATCACTGGGCGACGTAAGTGCTCGCCACTGTCGGTGTGGCTTGTCACGGAGCAATAGCTCACCGGGTGACCAAGAGGCAGCGGGCGGTGCGTACAGTAAGCAAACAGCCGTCCAGCTGCCAAGGAACATTTCCTATAGGAAGGCAGTATACAAAGGCAGGAAGCCTTGACAGCACCTGCATTTACCAGCAGGGGTAGTTGTGAGGCCCGGTGCTGTGGGGGTCCTTCTACCACGAGAGAAGCCAGCCTGGGGACAAGAGGACGGAGGAGACCCTGTTCCCCACTTGTCCCCTCCGTGTGCTCCCACATGGCACAGATATTTGATGCTCAGAGCTGTGCCAGGCATCTTACAAGGCGAAGGAAAGGAAAACTGTATAAATGGGGATGCCAGCTCAGTGGCCCTGACCTTGATGAACCAGTGCTGGAAGCTTCTGTTCAGGGATAAAAATAAGTGCTTCTTATTTCAGCTACACTGGCGGGCTGTCTTTTTGCCCTGCTGCTGAAATCGCCTATTCCGATGCACAGCGGCTGCCTGCGTCCCCTGCAACTCCCTGATTTCTGCAAGAGCCAAGGCAGACCACCAAGAACCTCCCATTGTGTCCCCATGCCAGAGGTCTGTGCCTAGTTGGTGCACTTCTGAATGGCAATATAAAAAAAGCTTGTTTGAGGCCGGTGCCACGACTCATGCCTGTAATCCCCACACTATGGGTAGCCGAAGCAGGTGGATCGCTTGGTCAGGAGTTCAAGACCAGCCTGGCCAACCATGGTGAAACCCCGTCTCTACTAAAAAACAAAAATTAGCCTGGTGTGGTGGTGTGTACCTGTAATCCCAGCTACTTGGGAGGCTGAGGCAGGAAGAATCACTTGAACGCCAGGAGGCGAAGGCTGCAGTGAGCAGATGATCGGCCACTGCACTCTAGGCCTGAGTGACAGAGTAAGACTCATCTCAAAAAAAAAAAAAACAAAAAAAAACATTGTTTGGTGCTCAGCCCAAGTGTGGGACATTTTGTTTCTATTTTATTTTTTTCTCAATTGATTCTTTATGAAAAGTTCTTAACCTGCTCTGCCTTTTAAAACACTCTGTGTCACCCCCACAAACAGCACAATCCAACAAGGTGCTGGTATTATTTCAAATTGCTGTCCACTTAAGATTAAAGTCCAAAAAGAAAGAGAGAAAATAAATAATCACAAGGCATGAAACTGACCACACCACTGCTGTCCCCTCTTTGGCTCCACACACACTCTCAGACTTCCTGTTTCTGATTGCAGGCGTGTAGCTGGAAGGTGAACCGAGATAGTATGAAAACAGGTGGAACCGGATGCAAAAAGAGCACTGGGGCAGGAAACCTGGATCCTGTGCTGCTCGGATGGACTTGGCTGTGTGACCTTGGACTTGGCCGTGTGACCTTGGACTTGGCCATCCACTCTCTGTGCTTCGGTTTTCTCCTGTGTTCAGGGCAATCTCACTAAGTCCTTTTCCCACTCTGCTCCTCTGTGAATTGAGTGAGGATCTTTCTCTTTAATTTCAGCCTCCATCTTGTAAACCAAAAAGTATCTGAGACAGGTCTCAATCGATTTAGAGATTTGTTGTGCCAAGGTTAAGGACATGCCTGGAAGTGTAAAAAAAGAAAAAAAAAAAAACACCACGAAATTACAGCAACAGTCTCTAGTCTGTGCCTTTCTCCAAAGATGATTTTGAGGGCTTTGATATTTAAAATGGAAAAGCAGGCTGGAGGGGAGAAAGGCAGGATATGGTCACATGACTGAATCCCCATGTTACAAAGGAAAAGGAGCAGGTAGGGGATAGTCAATTATGTATTTGTCTCATGCTCAGCAAATCAGCAGTTTACGTAAGATAAGGTGAACATAGAGTAGCTACCTGTGGAGCTATTTAACTTTTTATTTGTAGTGATCTACTTAGGTGCAAAAGGAAAGGCAGCTTCTTGCATGACTCAGCTTTCAGCTTTTTTTTTTTTTTTGCCTTTTTGGCATAGTGAATTGGGTTCCCAAGTTTTAATTTTCCTTTCAGAATCTGCAGCTGCAACCATGTCCCATGAGTGCGGTAAGGCTTAGGGTGTTTTTGGAGATGAGCAGGCCCGAGTTTTAATCCAACTATGATGCCCAAATGCTAAGTTAATGTTGGACAAATATTTAACCAACCTGATCTTCAGTTTGTCGTCAGTGAATGGGGAAGAATAATAATAATAATAATAATACCTTCTTTTGATAATTAGAGACAATGCATATGAGATATAAGCACACAGCAGATGTTCCATGGCTGGTAAATATTCTCCCTCTTCTTCTTTGTGTAGTTGTCTGCTTGCTGTGTGTCTATGGAAGTCAGATGAGCATTTGCCCAGAGGCTGGGTAGATGGAGCCCACAAGCTCATAAGAATAAAATAACTAGAATGGAAACAGAAAATTAGGTGTTCCATATGTTGTAACTCATTTTTGGCTGGAAATTATAGAGACCTCGGTTGGCAGTGTCATTAGATACTTGGAAAGGATGGGCAATGATTAGCACAGGTGGCTGGAGATGAACTCCCTGAACCGGCCCTGACATCTTGTTAGAGACAGAAAAGCTCACATAGGTGTGAGCCTAGAATTTCAGTTAATATGCATTTATTCCGTATCTTGTCATCACAGAGTTGAGTTTTGCAGTCTGCTAAGAAGAGCAAAGAACTTCCCAGTAATATTGAAAGGTAATAGTCCTAAGGACCTTGAAAAGCTACATTTGTTAGGGAGTTTATTGTAGAATAGCACGCTTATTCAGTAAAAGTGGAAAATTACCTTTGTGATTGATTTCACCGGACAGCACTAGTGATCACCCATCATGACTTCCACTTTCGCTTTCGGTCACCTCCACCTGTTGTGCATCTGGCAAAAACAGGAAAATGGCTAATGATTTCTTTCCCCAGATGAGTATTTGTTTTTTATATAAGAATAATGTGACCAGACACGGTGGCTCACGCCTGTTGCGTGAAGTCAAGGACCCCGAACGGAGGCCAAATTAATACTTTTATAATTTCTTACACCAGTCTCTACTGTAATCTCTGAACACAAATTGTGAAGATTTCATGGACACTTATCACTTCCCCAATGAATATCCTTGTGATTGCCTATGCCTGTCTTTACTTTAACCTCTTAATCCTGTCTTCTTCTTTGTAAGCTGAGGAGGATGAATGTCACCTCAGGACCCTGTGATGATTGTGTCAACTGCACAAATTGTTTGTAGAGCATGTATGTTTGAACAATATGAAATCTGGGTATCTTAAAAAAAAAGAACAGGGTAACAGTGATGTTCAGGTAACACGAGAGGTAACTTTGAACTGGCTGCTGGTGAGCCGGACGGAACAGAGCTATATTTCTCCTCTTTCAAAAGCAAATAGGAGAAATATTGCTGAATTCTTCTTCTCAGCAAGGAACATCCCTGAGAAAGAGAATGCGCCCTGAAGGTAGGCTTATAGACGGCCCCTTTTAAGGCATCCGTCTTTTATGGTTAAAGCCCAAGGGATGAAATAAGCCTCGGTCTCCTGTAGCGCTCCCAGGCTTATTAGGTGGAGGAAAATTCCCACCTAATCAATTTTGGTCAGAGGTTGTCTGCTCTCAAACCCTGTTTCCTGATAAGATGTTATTAATGACAATGCGTGCCCGAAACTTCATTAGCAATTTTAATTTCACCTCATCCAGTGGTCCTGTGATCTCGCCCTGCCTCCATTTGCTTTGTGATATTTTATGACCTTGTGAAGTATGTGATCTCTGACCCACACCCTATTTGTACACTCCCTCCCCTTTTGAAAATCGCTAATAAAACTTGCTGGTTTTACAGCTGGGGAAACATCACGGATCCTGCCGACATGTGCTGTCTCCCGCGGACACCCAGCTTTAAATTTTTCTCTCTTGTGCTCTTTCCCTTTATTTCTCAACCCAGTCGAGACACTTAGGAAATAGTAAAGAACCCACGTTAAACATTGGGAGCGGGTTCTCCCGATAACGCCTGTAATCCCAGCACTTTGGGAGGCCGAGGCGGACAGATCACGAGGTCAGGAGATGGAGACCATCCTGGCTAACACAGTGAAACCCCGTCTCTACTAAAAATACAAAAAATTAGCTGGGCGTGGTGGCAGGTGCCTGTAGTCCCAGCTACTTGGGAGGCTGAGGCAGGAGAATGGCTTGAACCCGGGAGGTGGAGGTTGCAGTGAGCCGAGATCGTGCCATTGCACTCCAGCCTGGGTGACAGAGCGAGACTCTGTCTCAAAAAAAAAAAAAAAAAAATAACGTAACTTTAAACAAGTATAGAATAACAAATCATCTCAACCACAGTAAAGCTCCTGAGAAGAAGTGAGCCAACAGCAATCAGGTCCAGCTGCTGAGGCCACAGGGACTTTTTGTGAGAGGCCTCAGAGACCATCTGAGAGGAAGGGTGTCTGAATGAAGAGTGGGAGAATATCTCAGCCCAGAAGCTACTCCATTTCTTAACCTAAAAACACAGAGGTCTGTGCTTTTGTGTGGATTTGTGCTGGGTCAATTTAGCTAAGCTAGAAATACATTTTCCATAATTTCCTTTCCTGTATAGCTGCAGGTTACCAGGGGCCCAAGAGAAACTCACTGTGAGATTTGCAAGCTGAAACAGCAGTCACATTCTTCTTGCACTCAGAAGGAAATCTAGCCGAGCATTCAGCATGGGTACTCCACAAGTAAACATCAGGGGACGGAGCAGAGAGGGGCCAAGGGCACACTCGCTAGCCTCAAGGTTCAGGGTTAGACCCCTGGGTTGGTGTGGTCTGCTGCACGATGTCCCCACAGATCTATCCAGGTCTTTGTCTCTGGAACCTATGAGTGTTACTTCATGTGGCAAAATAAACTTCGCAGACACTGCTTAAGATTAAGTTATAGATCTTGAGGCCAGGCACGGTGGCTCATGCCTGTAATCCCAGCACTTTGGGAGGCCGAGGCAGATCACCTGAGGTCAGCAGTTCGAGACCAGCCTGGCCTACATGGCAAAACCCTGTCTCTACTAAAAATACAAAAAAGTTAGCTGGAGGTGGTGGTGCACACCTGTAATCTCAGCTACTTGGGAGGCTGAGGCAGGAGAATCGCTTGAACCCAGGAGGCAGAGGTTGCAGTGAACCGAAATGGTGCTACTGCACTTCAAGCTGGGTGACAGAGTGAGACCACGTCTAAAAAAAATATTAAGTTCTAGATTTATAGATGATCCTGGATCGCTGACATAGGCCCTAAATATCATCACACAAGTGTCCTTATAAGAGGGACAGAGGGACATCTGACTGCAGAAAAGGAAAGGCAACGTGAAGATGAAAGCAGAGGGAGATCTGAGGATGCTACGCTGCTGGCCTCGAAGAGGAGGAAGGGGGACCATGGGCCAAGGAATGCAGCTCTCCAAGCTAGAAAAGGCCAGGAAGCAGATTCTCTCCTAGAGCCTCAGGAGAGAGCACGGCCCTACCTTGGTTTCAGCCCAGTAAAACTCATTCTGCACCTTTGACCTCCAGAAATATCAGGCACTCAGTTTGTGGGATTTGTTACAACAGCCCTAGGAAGCTAACATCCCTGTTAAGGTTCAGGGTCGTTCCCAGACAGGGGACTGAGAGTAGGATCCATCCAGCGCTGCTCCAATCTTGCTGTTACCTTCAGGAGATCCCAGGGAAGAGTTTGGAAAAGGGGAGGCTTTGGGTGTGGAATAGTTAAGTGACGTGTCATACAACCACACCAGAGGACGCTGTGTGTATGTGAAAAATGACATCCCATAGAGGTTAGATGATGCAGGGAAATGCTTAGGATGTAATGCCAAACAAAAAGAACAAGGAATTTTTTAAAGTATACGTAGTAGAACTTGACTGTGCTAAAAGGTGGGGCAAGTTCAGGCTGAGAGCAAACAAAACAAAATATTGCAAAATGTACCCAAAGGCTATCTCTGGCTTGGGGGACTCAGGCGATGGCTGTTTACTTTGTACTTTTCTGTGTAGGGTCTCATTTAGGAGGATTCAGTCCTGCAGAACAGCAGCTGCTAAATGAGCAAGTTATAGCCAGAAGATTTTCAAATGTCAGCAGATCAGGAGCTCTGAGATAACATCGGAGGCCTCCCAGCTGCTCGTGGGACCCTCAGGGTTGGACCATGGGAGAGGAGAAGGGGGAAGGGGAGAGTGTTGTAAGAACTAAGGAGGCAAGTTACAGACAATAATCTGCCAGCAAACAGGTTTTCTAACCCGCCTTGCCTGTGGCTGTGGCACTGTTCTCTTTTTGCCAAGGAAAGTGGGAATACAATGTTTGCCTTTCCCATTCTCTAGGTCTCTGAATTGTTGGGAAACACACATCCAGGCCAAGAGCAGGCTCATTTTAGCAAGTACGATTTCACACTTCTGCCAGCTGGGGCTGGATGGGGCTGGATGGGGCTGGATGGGGCTGGATGGGGCTGGATGGGGCTGGCGGGCACGGCAGCTTTCTCCCTGTCTCCAGACCCGGGCTGAGACTACGCCACTGACTCCAGGCTGGAAGGTGACTTTTATTTCCAAAAGAGCTGATCCTATTTCTCTAGTTCTCCACGTTGGTTTAGACACGAAGAAGCCCAGGACTGGAGGAAGAGAGAGCAGTGCCGGCAGATCGCTGGGTGAAGCTGTGTCTACCTGGTGCCGCCGTGAGTAATAAATTGGCAGGGTCCTGTGTCCAGAGGAGCCCTGGGTTGCCCAGCAGAGACAGCTGTCAGGACGGACCCTTCTAAACCAGAAGCATGAGTCTTGGCTTCTGGGTGAGGAGCGGATCTGCCAGCTCCAGGCAGCGGGATCAGAGTGAGGAAGGGGCTTCTCCAAGCCTTGTGCTAATGGGAATTAGGCTGAGAAGGGACTTCCAACCTAGTAGAGCTCGGCTGGAGGCCTGGTGCAGCAAAACTGTCTTTTGGCACTAAAAATTAATAACGTGGAAAGCTGAGAAAGAACGAGGCTGTGAGCCTGCCTACCAGGCAGCCTGGGCAGAAGTCAAAGAATTCTATTTTTATCAAGAAGTGCCACGTTCTATTACACTACTCTAAAAGAGATGCTCATTTTTAACATGGCAAGGAAGTCTCGGTCAGGGGTAGCTCTGAAAGGAAAGGTCTGAGTTGCAGGGTGTGTGTGCTCATATGTATATGTGCATATGTGTGTGTACATCTGTGTGCATGTGTGTGCATACATATATAATATATAAATATATTTAAATATAAAAATATATAAATATATTTATATACATAAATATATCTAAATATATGTATATAAATGTATACACATATGTGTGTGTGTATATATATACATGCATGTGTACATGTGTGAGCACCTACAGGGGCTATTCAGAGAAGCCAGAAAACGTGACTACAGAGATTTTTAACACCTGCAGCCTGGCTGGATTGGAGGCATGTGCCTGCTGGTCACTTGCCCTAGGCCAGATAAACAACCCAAGCATCACACCCAGGACCCTGCATATTCACTGCAGACTCCAGAGGTCCCCAGTTGAGCTCACTGTCCTCCTGTCCAAGTCTGCCCCTCCTGTTCTAGGTCGCACTTAGCCCTGCACAAACTGAGGCACATCCGAGATGCTGGTTTCCCCTTGCCCTGCATTCAAAGTGGGGCCAAATCCTCTCCACCCGTTCCTCACTTCCCTCTTTTGACCCACCATCAAAACAAACAGGACACACTACCATCTACCACACTTTCCTCATTTGCTCCCTTTCCTCACCACGCACGGGCTACCTGAACCCCACACCTGAGCCTCACCCCTAAGCATCGTCCTTCCTTCCTCCTGGTCTTGTCCTTCCAAATCTCAGCAGCCACCATGGCTTCCCAGCTCCGCCCACTGATGCCCCAAAACAGGGCGAACTCTGGACAAATGTG